AGTCAGTGGCTCCATGCAGAATTTCAAAGCAGCAATGACTCATGGAGCCTGGGATCAGCCGGAGAGTCCCCAGCTAACCCCCAGATCCATGCAGCGCTACCACTTTGAAACACTGCAGGAAACCTGCACCAGCTGAGGATCTTCTCCTCTCCACCCCGCCCCTTGCTGATAAGAGGCATCAAGGGGGCAGGGGAAGTGACTAGTCGACTAGTCAACATCCCTAGTACACATATGAAGTTGCATGTGGTATCATACAAAAGGATGAAAGAAGTTTTTGGTGCAGTAGTGGTTGGCTTGGTAACCAAGCATGGTCCATTGCTTCATCTGCCAACAGTGGGCTAGGAACTGTGCAAAGGCTTGCTTTCACCCAGTGGAAGAGTGGCGGTGGCTGTTTCCTGTGAAAACCATTTTTACATGGAAGAAAGAAGAAGCATCAGTAGATCATTTACTGAGCATTGACTATGAATGACTATGATGTGTGGCAGACAGGAAGGAAAGTGAATGGTAAAGGGAGAAGGATCCTGCATTGACACACTCCTTTAGTCTGGGGCATTGCCTTTCATTGAAAACAAACATTTGTCATTGACTCAGTGTACTTAAAAGCTTCAGTTTTATAAATATATGAATCCAAAATACTACAGTGTTGGTTCCTTTTATATATCTTCTGGGTATATTGATAAACAAAACTTGAATTAATCCCCCCCGCCCCCCGGGCCGCTGTGGTTATTTAATATTAAGGGACTGAGCAGCCAGTACGCAAAGATGCTGGCTCAGTCCTTGCTCCCGCGGGTCTCTGATCAGTCTGCATAACTTCCTCCACTGCCGCCCTGCATTGTAAGGGACGGGGGATCAGGGGAAGTTATGCAGACTGATCAGAGATGTTTGCATGCTGGTTACCAAGTCTCTGACAATGTAGAGCAGCAGCAGGGGAAATTATGCTGGGATCTGGTACATGCCAGACTGAGCTCTGGAACTGCCTACCCTTGTTGACTAATCAAGTAGTCAATAAAAAAAAATTGACTACATGATTAGGAAAGTAACCACATTTTAACATCCTTAATCTAAAATGTGGCTACTCTCCAAAACTCACTTGCTAACTCTGTGTAGTCTAACATAATAGTACGTTTTACAATGTAGCCTTTGTATCTCTATTTTCTTTCCAGAAACTAGTTTCCTGTTCTTCCTGATTGAAACCAGGTCTGTGGGAATACCTTACTAGTGAGAGGTTTGAAGCAAGAACCTGTACAATATAGAATAGGTTAATTTAAAGCTAGTCTTACATCTTACATTACTGTTTTCTGCAACTGTGCTGAGAGTATTAGGATAGTTACCATGATGCCCCATTCAAGAGATTCACAACAGGGAGGCTGATGCACCTGGGAAGTTTTAGTTAAGAACAATCTGTACATGTGAACGGGAAAAGGAGCTCTCCCTATCGGCTTCCTGAAAGCCTTGATTCTATGAGTAAGGAGACAATAGTAAAGAAGCTAGTTGGTACACAGTTCCCCTAATTTGTGTGTAAACCACAGTGTGAGTAGAGTTTAACTATTTGCTAACTTCACTGATATATCGAGATTGTCTAGGCTGAACTGTTACCTCGTATTGATTTCTTCTTAGCCAATTACTCTGGCTAGTGATACTCTTGATGTCCACCCAAAATAAGATGGCTTAGAAATCTTCCCTGATACTTTAAATTAATGGAGATTGCCTATCTCCTAGAACTGGAAGGGACCTTGAAAGGTCATCAAGTCCAGTTCCCTGCCTTCACAGCAGGACCAAGTACCATCCCTGACAATTTTTGCCCCAAATCCCTAAATGGCCTCCACAAGGGTTAAACTCACAACTCTGGGTTTAGCAGGCCAATGCTCAAACCACTGCGCTATCCCTCCCACTATCCTTCCCTTCCCCTTTCCTTCTTGTAGACTTCTGAAAAAGTGCTTCTGGTACAGACACTAGCTGGGCTCTCAGCTAGCTAAGTGTTTGGTGCACAAGCTGGCTATGTCAGTTGCCTGAGGAGTAGTCACACCAGCTAATCAATCACCATATCAGCTGCTGAGGCTCTTAGGTGGAGAGGGCCACCTTCAGTCAGACCCCTGGGATATTGGAAGAGACAGGGCAGTTCTGTAGCTGAAATGCTCTCTAAGCTGCTATGTTCTACCCTATTCCGTACATCACAGATTGTGTGTCTTATCCTCACTGGAGCAACCGAAGTACCTCCTTACAGAAAGTAAAGGGAAGCTTCTAGAAAGATGATGTGGACAACTTTTGAAATTGCAGCCCTTCAAAAAATTATTTGTCTTCAAGGGAATCCCTCAGATTTGAAAAGGTTGTTTTTGTTTTGTTAAGTAGCTAGCTACAGGTTTAATATGGAAAAATTCTAAAAAAAAAAAAAAAAAAAAAAAAAAAGCTTCCAAAATATCCTTACAATTCATCTTCTGATGATAAACCAACCTATAAACACTTGCTAGCAGGATTATGAAATGGTATTTATCCTCATTTACTTCAAGGATCCAAAAACTATTTTAAAGACTAAATGTCTGATTCAAAGCCCAAGGATCTAAGTGGGAATTCCAATAATGACTTTAATAGAATTTGGATCAGGCCCTAAATTATGCAGTTAAGATGCAATTTATGCATAGTGAAAAATTCTGAGGTTGCCTTTAATTATAGCATTGAGTAAAAGGACTACAATTTTTTTATTCCATCTATCAAATTTAAAATTGACGTTAGTATTGTCTAGTTTAATATCTCTCTCTCTCTCTCTCTCTCTCAAAAAGTTTTTCTTGCCGGGCGACAGAATGATGTCATCACTCTCTTACACCAGGAAAGCCACTGGAGAGAGGGGGGGCTGGCGAGTGAAGCAAGCAAAGGACACAGCTCCCTAGTCCATTTTAATATCTATTTTAAGATCTCATTCATTTATTGAAGAAAAGGGTCTTAATCTCTGGCCCTCTCTTCACGAGAGGAAAGAATATGAAATGATTATAGGTAGAATTTATTAATTAAATTTATATTATTTTACATGGAGATGCCGATGAACCCATGACATCCTCTAAGATTTTGAGTCTTAATGCTGAATGCTTGAGGTTTTTTACTTTCATGATTCTTACCTACAGTAATACGATAAATTTTATTTTTGAAAATGATAAAAACTTTTAAGCTAAAGGATGTGTACAGTATGGAGTGATTCTCTTTTATGGTTAAATAAATTTCAACTTGTTGAATTGTTTGCTTTTGAGACTATTTAAGTAAAAATTAATGTTCTTAATTTAAAATATGGACATTCAATGTTTTTGTTTTTAAGTACTGTAGAGAATTAGAGGTGACAGTTCAAGAAAGATTAATATTTTATTTTGTTCTCCGTAAGAAAACTGGTAGATGTAGTGCTCATATGTAGATATATTGGCATCATTTGTGGGTTTCCAGCAAGTCTCCTTGTAATATGAGCTGAGTTTTTGATGTACACTGTAAACTTTTTTAATTTTTTTTTTAATTTTTTATTTTGGGCTACTGTTTCTTTTTCAGCTGTGTAAAATTTTACAGACCGTCTTTCTCCTGTTCTTTGTAGTTACATGTGCTGTTTCTTGATAACCACACCCTCTTCCCAAAGTTGTTTTGGAAAGAATATGAGGGGAACTGACATGATGCAACATGTATTTCACTCATAAGATTGTTGTACAGTAGTCAAATTGTAATAACTAAATGTAATAGCTTGTTTGTATTTAGAATGGCAACTAGTAGAAAGTGTTAAATATAGGAATAACCTCAATTTGTTGAATAAGTGCATTAATTGATTTAAAAGCAATGATGCCAGAGTTTGAGAATATTTTGTTTATGTGTAATTTTTTTCTCTCTTTGTTACAATGCTTTCCCAGCAAGGACAAGTTTGGAAGGTTTGCAAAGCTTTTCACCTTCCCTCTGCCCGCTTGCCCGCTTTCAGATCAGTTTCATACTCCATGACTTCTGTCTCTTTATTCCACAACAGCCATAGAAATCAATATAGAAAAGTTAAAATGAGCTATCATTTTAGGTCACTATCTTGTGTAGAAGTGCACAGCATGTGATTTAGTTTGCATGACACAGACATGGGGAATATGAAAAATCCCCAGGGGGAATATGAAACTGTATATATTTGAATGGAAGTACAGCTTGAGCACAATATTTTGTTTTGTGGATAACACCCTTTTAATTACACTTCTCACACACTTAAACAATATAGTATTTCTTAGTGATCTGTATCCAGTTTTTGTCATTGAAGTTTATAAATAGGAAATTTCTAAAGAAACAGACACTTTGGTTTTCAGGAATCATTGTCACAGGTGGTAGATTAGTTGATTGCCCAGAGAACTCTACTGCTCATGTTCCACATCAGTTATTTTCCACATCAGTTAACATTTTTGCTCATGAGCCATGTATTATGTCATATTTTGTTATAATTGTTTGAAGTGCTGTTTTTAAAATACAACTGACAGCAGTACTGTACACTTGCTTAATCAGGAGAACAATCAGAATAGATTTAACGTGGTCCTCACTTTTTGAAAATAGTCTTTTTTACTGTAGATGAAGATAATATTGGAAGCTTAATTGAAGGAAGGAAGAACTGTCTTGCAGAATACAATGAAAAAATAAATACAGATTGTTTCCCATTTTTCTTCACATAAGATACACTAATATACCTAGCACTCTCCTCTGCGGATGATGATATGATTGCATTTTCCAACAGTTATTAGTTTCAGTTGAATACAACCCTACCTCAAACCATGAATAGTAGTAAAATCTCTTTTTTCTTTTAGGATTAAGCTTTTCCCCTCACTGCTGTTCTGCACTAACTGCTTTGAAACTTCCATGCATTTTTTTCAGTAGAAGAGCATCTCTGTACTGTCTCCCATTGCATATTCCAGCTGTGACAATCCTTGCACTTTGCCTACTCATTTTATCACCTGCTCACTAAAAAACAATGTCTTTCTAGTTTCTGATTGCAGACTTGATAGAATTACTTAATTTTAGCAAGGTGAATGAATGTATTTTTAGTTCACTTTCCTTTTTTTTTTTTTTTTTTTTTTTTTTGGGAGGCATGTGGAGACCCAAAAGCAAAACCATCATATCTTATCGACAAAAACCTGGAATCTGCTGTCAAATTCATTGTGAGAAAGTTCCCAGCTGTAGAAACACGCAACAACAATGTAAGTATTGAAATTACTATGTTATATATGCAGCTTGCTTAAAAAACCCTTTGGAGTTTTTGATGCATAACTCCATTTTGTTGGGGTTTTACGTGTTCTTCTAAAGAACTTGTTCCTGATGACTGTTAAAATACAGATTACCAGTCTGGATGGATTGCTGGTCCAGTCTGTGACACAATGCCATTATTTTGTCTAGACAGGAAATGACAAGAGTATATTACCTATATTTCTATTATCATAGAGTTTCTCCTCCCCACTTTGACTAGTCTTTCTCCTATTTAATTAAGGTATTTTCAATCTTAGATGGTGTAGGCAGGGGATTAAGCTTGCTTCCTGGCTTATGATGGCTGTGGAAACTGCTGAGTGCCCAGACTGTTGTAGAAGGTAGTTTCAGAACTTCAGGTTGTGTTGGCAAATTCCAACCTAGTAGGACAAAGAAGGGATTGGGGAGTTATGACAACTCAGTTGCTCCCCATAGATACTCATAATAATAGAATACATATGGGGAGCTCCTGTGTGAATTAAAGATCCTTCAACATACAGTAGAATCCCTTTTTGAGTGCAATAGCTTTCTTTCAAGGGAAGGGGTCTTCCCCATGACATTTACATACAGCAAGTTTTCTGGTCCAAGGATGTATATATTAGATTATTGTACCAGCATTGCTGACTTTAGCCTGTAACCTTTTAGAGAGACTTGCATATGACTAATGTGATTTCTGTTAGGAGCAGAAAGATCTACACACAGTGGTTGCTCTGTTACTGTTTAGAATTGAAACGTCAAGGGGAAGATTTCCTTATGTGCTTATTTTCCTTTTCAAAAGTGGAAAGGGAGGTTAGGTAATGGTTTACATGTTCCATGCATGCAACTATTTGCATGATTGCTTGAGAACTCCTATTTTCAACACAATTATTTAGGCTCATTTTGAGCATTCTCCTATTTCTGCAGTTTCAAATTTGACAACATTAAGTTACTTTTAGTATTTATTTTATTATTAGTGTTAATGGTTGCTTCTAGTGGTCCCAAGTAGTATCTCCAGCAAAGTCAACAAAAACTTATATAAGTGCATTTTCTTCTAAAATAAAGAAACTTTTATTTAAGCACAGCAATGCATTCCTTGGTATTCTTTAATGTTTACATTTACTATTCTTAATCTTGCTTATCTTCATGTATTTCATTTTTCTCTTTCAGTAACATACATGAAAACATCTATCTAAGACTTGAGTAAAAAGTAAATATAACTAAACTTTTCTCAAACCAGGTCCAGCGAAACCTCTAATTCTCAGCTTTTTATTAAAAATAAAATGACACATTGTTAAATATTGAGCACAATAAATGAATTTCAGTTAAAGCACTCTTGCAAATATCATGTGTGGATTGTCATATCTAGGTATATTTAGATTAGATTTTACATAGTATTACACACTTAATAAATTAGTTCTCTCAACTATTTTGATTAGAAGTGGTTGAAATATTAATTTTCAGAAGCACAATTTTTGTAAAAAAATGAGATTTTTTTACTTCTTATTTTATGGCAATGTCTAATGATTTAAGGCTGAAGCCATAATCTCATCCTGGCTGCATATGGAGAAAATAAATTCTGTATCCCTTTCTAGTTATCTATGAAAAAAATTACAGCATACCCTCATCTTTTCATAATCTGTATTTCTGGAAGTTAGGGATATTTCACTATTGGTCCAGCACAAAGTTGCACTTTTACTCCCCTTCAGAAGTTCTGCTTGTATGATCTGAACCCCAGGCATTTACCTACCTAAAATTAATTTTGAAGGGTCAAAAGGGAGTTTTTAGTGTCAGAGTGATACAGAATCTTTAGAGGTGTGCAAAGGAGGTTTTTACCACAAAGACAAGAACCGGAGGAGGCCATAATCAGGATTCCGTGGTGGATGCAATGCATTCTTTATTTTGAAGGAACTTTTTTTTGGGGTTTGTTGACAACACAATCGCTTCATAATTTAAGAATGTCTGACCTCAGTGGGAAGCTGGAGGGGGCCAGATTTCCTTCCTTCCTTTCTCTTCCTGTCTCACCACCCACCCCACCCAAGAGCCAAGTGACATTCATCAGTGAGCTCTGCTTCTGTAAGTTCTCTGCTAAGGAAGCAGATGCTCAAAGACCTGCAAGGAACAAGGAGTTCACTGGCATAGAAACATCATTAAGCAAAACACTATTGAACATTACTAGAGGGATAACAGTTAAGTAATCATAACATGACAAAGAGTTCCTGACAGCTTTTCATAGAGACTTGGATTTTTCTAGTTTCAAGCACAACAGTTACCGCTGCTCCGTGCAATGCATCCTGACCTTTGAGTTTGATACAGCTATTGTCTGTCAGCAGATTAAGTTGCTAGTTGAGCAAGTTTATGTGTAGTTAGAAAATCATCAGTTCATGCTAATGGTTTTATTTACACCAGGGCTACTCAACTTTGGAAGTCTCAGGGGCCACAGTGATACTCATAGCACATGCTAAGGGCCTCAACTTAAGTGTGGTTGCATCTACATGCAAATATACATGCAAATAGCTTCTTTCACACAATGCCCTGGTGCTCCTGGAACTTTCTCCCTGGGGGCTAGAAACACCGACCCCCTGTATCCCTTTGTTCCAGCTAGCCCATCTGCTTACATCTTTCAGTGTGCGCTCTGCCTGGGAGATGCCTTGCCGTTGTAGAGTGTGTTCCCAGTGGAGGCCATGTATTGAGCCCCATGTAAACCCAAACTGCACCACGGGCTGCAAACCAACAGGCCGCATGTGGTTTACACAATCTGAAACTTTATCTAACTCAAAGGTCAGGATGCATTGCACTGATCAGTGGTAACTGCTGTGCTTGAAACTGGAAAAATCCAAGGCTCTATGGAAAAGCTGACCTTGGACCCCCGCCCCTTGGACAGGGGCTGCTTTGCAGCAGTCTCCCCTGCCCCTTTTGCTCCCCGCTGCTGCCTCTGATAGCGGCAACAGCATGGGGGAAGTAGAGGGGTACCATGGAACTGGTGTTTGCAGGAATTGGCTTTTAAGCCAGCTACCTCCAGCACCAACTCCTGCTCCCCTCTCCACATCCTCTGCCTCTGATATAGAGGCAGCAAGAAGGGGGAGGGGAATGCGGGTAGTAGAGAAGATTAACCAATAAAGCTTAGCCTTATCAGTTGATAGTCTACTCGACTACTTGTTTACATCCCTAGATCACTTAACTATTGTTCCTTTAGTAATGCTCAATAATGTTTTACTTAGCCCATTCTGGCCTTAAATCTATTAATATAAAAATGGTTATTGCAATCATCTAGTCTGCCCTCCTGTGCATTGCAGGTCACAGAACCACCCCCACCCGTTCCTTTCATTCAGATTAAAGACAAAATGAGAAACTGAAAAACCCACAAGTTTCATTAAACAAATTCAACGTGAATCTTAAAGCGCAGTTTGATTCACTTTGTAAAATGTATTCTACAAATATAAAAGGCACCCTTAATTCAAAATGAATAACACATAATTCTCAATAAAATTTGAAGACTTAATAGTCTCAATCTAGTAACTAAGGCAGGCCTATAACTTTTTCGAATGTCCTTAGATATTAATCAGTTACTGATTTTTTTTTTCTTTCAGTACCTATCATAATGTATGTGAAGGTTTAAGCACATCAGCTGAAATATACTATAAAAATAAGCAATTGACACTGAGCTGGATGGACAGCTGTATGGGGTTTTATAACTCATGTCTGTGTCCATATCTTGATGCAGTAAATTGTGATGCAGCCTGTTTTTATAAAAAAAGCTTTAGATACAGAATTCTAGATCTTCCCTTTGAAAGGCTTGAACTACAGGAACCAACTCTGAATTCTGTTCCATTATGGAAACTTGGCCATTAAACCCCTTCTTTTAGTCCTGGCTGGTGAAGATTTTTTTAACTTCCAAAAAGTGCTCTGACAGTTTAGGTGAAGTTAGTACTTTCTCATTAAGATTTAAAATATATGTTGAGTATCTGCATATAAGAAGCTTAGGAGATGGCACCTAAGGAATACTCAAGTTTGGATAATTTCTTACAAAATGAGAAAAAGATTCATCTTTTTCTTTTTTCATTTGCCTCTCTGGCATCTTCAGCTACGCGGACACAATATTCTGTGCTTTTCATTTCAGACATAGACTTAGGAGCAGTAAATGGAAACACACTTCTCCTTGGCATTTATGTTCAGCCAGTCACCTTACTTCGGTGTCACTGCTTCTTTTAATTCATCCTTTAGCTGGTGCAATTTCTTCATTTGCAGCATACAGTGGATCCGTGAATTAAAATCTTTTTATATTAGTAGAACCAAGGTAAAGTGGTGCAATCATTTCTTTATAAATTCTTCCCTGTGTGCTATTTGGAGGCAAGGATGGAGTAAGTAGGTTGCAACTCAGTTTGTCTGCCTTTAAGTTGTTTTTAATGGCATAGTGTCTTAAATTACCTTTGCTATTTTTTTGGTGTCAGAGGTGAATAAGTAAGGTTTCTGAAGAGCTGCTGGAAGGTTTGGAGCAATTAAATTGTCGTCATAAAATGTTGATAAAGTTAACATGTCTGTATTCTGTTCTTACAGCTCTCACTACAGAGAATTGCATTTGATCAAAATGTCTTGAATACAATATTAATTTTTTGCAGCTACTTAGATGATTGTGAATCCTTATTTTTTAGTTTGACAGTGTTCAACTTCTTTATTCAGTCACTGACTTCTACCACTTTCTTCAACCTTTGCCATGCTGAATTAAATAATTCATACGCTGTCAGGCATAACTAAATGTTAATCACCCATTTCAGTATGGGTTAGTTATTTTAGATTTCCGACAGTTAGAATGAGAAACAATTGCCTAATTACTCCAGTACTGAGGAGGTCAGAATCTAAAATGTGGCAACTAGTTTTCTGCAGAACCAAATTACCATATGCCCTGCCTATCTCCCAGAATAATTCAAGATTATAGCAAACCAAAAACCCCTTTAATACATAATTTCACATGCTTCCTCCT